CCCGCCGTCCCCTCCCCCGTCTCTCCCCATGTCCATGCACCACTCCTCCAGCCGCAAGATGTCCTCGTCCGTCGCCTATCACACGCACAACGGCGGGATGAGCTCAGACAACTTCAGCGCCGCCCGAAAGGCCAACGAGGGAGGCAGCCCCACCAGTCCCTTCAGCACGGGCTCCAGCAGCGCCGGAGGTGGATTCACGTTCGGGGGCGACTCCACCCCAGGGCTGCCCCCCTCAGAGGAGCTGGGCTTCGAGTTCAGCGCCTCCAACATCTGGGCGCCCTTTGTCAACGGCGGAGCGGGGAGCAAGGCGGCCGGCTCCTCGCAGCAGCAGCCTCTACGTCGCAACAGCAGCGGGCTGAGCGGCGGCGCCATCACTCCACGCCTGTCTCCGACTTTGCCTCAGGACACGGGGGCGAGCCCTCTGGACCACCCGCTGGCTCGACGCGCCCAGAGCGACCCCCTCAGCACGCTCTCCTGGCTGCAGTCCAGCAGCACGGGAGGCGGCTCCTTCTCGGGAGCCTCCAGCTCCAGCTCCGGCGGCTCGTCCACCGGCTACTCCTCCTGCTCGGCGTCCTCCCTGCCCGGCGGCTCGCCCACCGACTCCGAGGGCGGCGGCGGCGCGGGCCTCAGCGCCGGGATGCTGAGCCGTCTGAAAAGCAGCTCCGGAGTGGCGGGGCTGGTCGGCATCGGCCCGGGAGTCAACAGGGACTGCTTTGTGTGCTTCGAGAGCGAGGTGACGGCCGCTCTGGTTCCTTGCGGCCACAACCTGTTCTGCATGGAGTGCGCCGGGCAGATCTGCCAGTCGGCCGAGCCCGAATGCCCCGTCTGTCACACTCCAACCACACAGTGCATCCGCATCTTCTCCTAATGCACTGCAGGGGGGCGGGGTCAAATATCTGGGGAGGGTGGGGTTCTGGACAGAAATGGGATTGGAGGGCGACACCAGCTGTGGTGGAGGCAGTGGAAGGATCTACACTAATAACCTTCACACACTTGATGAACCATAATAAAAAAGCATTAATAGAGTTGATGATACTATACGGATGTTGATATATTGCTGATAACTGTGGAGATGAATGATAACAGTAATAATAATAATAATAATAATAATAATAAAAATGACAATGACTTATTTTCAGAGGGAAGTTAGTTGGAACTGGTCTGCAGACAGCTGGGACTCAGGCGGTCTCTCAGTGGTGAACTCATGGAAGGAAACTAGTGTCTTATCTCTCTTCAGGCCTTCATTTGGACTCGGAGCAGTCCTGTTTGCAGGCTGCCCGTCTGTCTCCACATGTCTTCATTCTGGCTTCTTCAGAGTTCTGCCTGCTTTTTTTTCTCTCACAGCCTTTTTCCTTTTGACACTTTTGTACTTAACAGATATTTTTGGATGAAGTTGTCAACGAGGCCTGCACTTTTCTACTCCTGATTTTAATATTCTCGACCCGATTCCCTCTCCTCCTCCGAGCTCTCTCATGCTATTTTTTAATTTTTTTGAAGCGGAAAGGTTGCTCTTTTTTTGTAAGCTCAGAGCGTCTGTCTTATTGTTTGTTTATTTTTTTAAGGTCGACACGTTGTCAGGCACCTAGCAGAACACTACACCCAAGAGACCTCTTCAGGATGAAAACTGGTTTCTTGATGCCACAAAAATTTAGCCATCAGTTAATAAGCCAAATGATTGCTAAGAACAAACGTCTCTTTAATTCTTGATTGAATTCAGTCACTGTTTGGAGGGAATTTGGACGGGTCTGAGCCACGTTTTAACCGTGGCCGTTGAGTAGATTTCCAGCGGTTGCTCTGTAATATGTGAGAACTTCAACCTATGATTGTGGTCAGTTCGTATGTGTGGACTGCCTGACAATCCCTTTACATTTCTAATATCTCCTGTATGTGTTTGTGTGTATGTGAGAGAACGATGCCCACTCAGCAGCGTCAGCGTGTCATCACGAGAGGGTCCGGCTTCCATCCATCCATCCGCACTCGTACGTTATCTTCTCACATCGCGTGTCTGTTACACTTAGATCTTCTCGTTTAGTGTTTCTTACTAGTTTAGGACTTTTCAACTGGTGTGTGTGTGTGTGTGTGGCATATTTTGATCTCTTAGGATAAGATGGGGCTTTTTCTAAATGTCGCACAAGAATGTTATTTTGTCCAATACGGTTAGAGGAGAGAAGTCTGCTCCTTCCCTGTTCCTATAATGACGAGGGTGTTTGAGTGAACCGTTCTAAGTTTTCCTGCACTGTAACCCTCCTGCCCATTATTATTTTTCTTGTTAAAGAGAGAGAAGAAGAAACAGCTCTTGCTGTTTTTGTTAGGTTTTGGTCTTCCACCCTTCTCTCTCGCAGCCAAGCTGTAAGGCACTCTCTGAGATGACACACTGTTGTACCCATATAGCGCTGTACTCTCGACAAAATGTAGTGCACTATATGGTTTTAGTAGTTTTGAGATTTGTCCTGTGTTTCATAGCATAACTGAGTTACTCCAGTGAGGCAGGTACTTCCTGTTTTGTGTTTGTGTTTTTTAAAAAAAAAAGTTCAGTGAGTTTGCAGTAATTGCCTCTAATAGTGTTAATACGACGTGATTTTTCTTGGGGGGCGTGGGGTGATGAGGTCGGCGTGACGGTTGCCTTTGGTGGCCCTTTTTTTTTTTTTTTTTTTACATTATGGAATCAGCTCATTGAATGAGATAAGCCATGACAACTGAATTAAAGCAACACACCGAATTCTCAAGGGCTTCCTCTAACTGCACAGACACATGACCACATTTTCAGGCTCACACCGTAGGAAGAATCAACTTATCTTTTATGGCAGCTAGTAGCTAGGTCATCCAGGGCTTCCAGACACCTCTTTTTGTGTTCCAATCCCAGCAGCTGCAGAATGTTTAGCTTTTTTCTTTTTTTTCCTTTGGGTTTGTTTCCCCACCCACCGCCCCAAGTCGTCCGCACACAATCACGATCAGATCCTGTCGGTGCGTAGGGCGCCGCCGTCCCAGCGTGGTGTCCTTCCAGGGCGCTGTGATGGACGCAGGGTTTGGACACGATGGACGGGGGTAACAGGGGTAACTTGATACGAGTACACAACTGGGACGTCGCTGTTTCACGCTTTGATGCTCCAGTTTGCTTGAATGCAGTTCAAACTGTTTGCTGCTTTCGGGACAATGGCACCAGCCATATAAATCTAAAACGGTTCAGGAGCCGAGCTGGTAGTCTTTTTGAAGACGAGTCCATGGTGCTTTGGTGCAACTCCCTACTGAGTCCCAGATGAACAAACCTAGTCGTTAGCGGGGCGCCATTTACTCTCAGAATAACATCTCCGGTGCACTGTAGAGTTGACAGCCCTGTTCTCATTCTTGCCCCCCCACCCCTGTGGGACCGCTGTGTTGAAACTGGCAACATCCCCTTCCCGTTGGACGCTGTTGGCTTTTTTTAAGCCCTCTTTTTTTCCCCTCTCCTTTCAAACGCAAAACAGATGCAGGGCTGTAAATGTGTCTGAACACATCTGTGATGACTGGTGTGAGTCTGTTGAGGCCCTTTTTTTTTAAGTGTCCAAGTCGACGTGTTGAAGATTAAATTGTGTTGTATTTGCCAGATGTGTTTAACGTAAATCCTGGTGTTGTTCTGGGACATTTCTGGCCATTGACAGAATGTTAGGGTTAATGTACAGTAATTTTAATTGTTCAAAGGTACAAATGTTTTTCAGATTGACTGCTTTTTATTTGTTTTGGGTTATTTTTTTAAAGCCAATTCTATCCCCATCCCCCAATTCCTTCCTAAAAGGTTTGAAAACAGGGTTTCCTGAGGCATGCTAGTCAGTGACCTCTGACCTTTTTTTTTTTTTTTTTTTTTTGTGATTTGAGAGGGGGTTGCTAACAACCACACCAATAAGGGGTGACGGACTCCCCCTCAAGTCTTCGCTCTATTTTTGCTTTAATTCTCTTTTTTACGCAGAACCAAAATGTAAAACATCAGTGACCTAGGTGCCAAGCCTAACCTGTGTGTAAATACCTGGATACAATCAGCAGGATCTTGTTTTCAAAACACAAAATGACATAATTAAAGATAAGTGTAGTTTCTAAAGAACATGTATCATTATTTGTAAGTTAACCATCTGCATGTCTTTAAGCCACCTGGCATTAGCTAATAATTTTTAAGAGGAAAAACAAATGTAAAAAAAAAAAGAAAAAAAACTTTTTACATGTTTTATTTTTTACAATTTATTTGCTTTCCTAAATATCCCAGACAATAATGTGACCCCCTTTTTTATTACTTCAAATTTATTTTTATTTTCCTTTTTTTTTTCTTTCCCTTATTTTCTGTGTACTACATATAGGCAATTTATAACAAAATGAGAAAATTATTGAAGAAATTTTAAAATTGAAATATATTTTATTTGAAAGTTTATGGACCTTTTAACCGTGAGCCGGAGAAATTGTATAATCGTATAATTTGAGCTGACTTGACGGTTATGAGAAATGTATCAAGAGTTTTATTTTTTATGCTTCTTTAATAAAGTCTTGTTTTTTGGTTTCATTTTTTTACTGTAAAAATTAAAAACGTGTTCTGTCTTTATTTTATTTTTTAGTACTAAACATGCTGTGCTGCATTTTCACCACATGGGGGCAGCAGAGACACGTGACATCTGCAGTCATCCAAAGRGCTTTACCTTTTAGGTTTTACAAAAAAAAATCTTAGGTTTTACAAGTATTTGAGAGAGCGTGAAAGACTAAATCTGGGACACTAAGGATTTATGTCTTTTAATTCAGTTTGTAACTTATTGTTTGTCAGCAAAACCTTAATGATGCAATGTTCACAACATTGATTTCTTTGGCAATTTGGTGCTTTTGATTAATCAACATTTTCAAATGGGCATGAATTTGTTTTAGTACATTTTATAAATATTTAACATGTCAGTTCCTAATAAAAGACGTAGACTTATTTAAAACCTATAAGAACATTGTTCTCCAAAATTTGGCTTTAGCATGCTTCTATGATGATTTAATGCTGCAAGTGTCCTGAAAGGCGCTTTTCAAATAAAATTATTACTTCTGCTAAACCTCTATTGCTAACACTGCTCATGCTAATGTAAAATTAATGATTAGCAAAAATTACATTAAAATTTCATTACTTTTAGGGTTTGTCTTGTGCTACTTTTATCTAGAATTTTAGCCTTTTTAGTTAATTTATTATTTTAGGGCTTTAACATTTTGCTGCTTTGAGCTTACAGTTCAGTTTGCTACTTTTAGCTAGCTTTTTGCTACATTTAGTTGTCATACTACCCAAACTTTAGCAGAATTCAGTATTAATTTCTCCAGTTTGTTATATTTATGCATTAGATTTTCATGTCTCACATCTCAGTGCACCAAACAGCTGCACCATCTGCTGAAATGAGTTTGTTCTGGGTGAAAATCKGTCTGAAACCAGATTCCATGAGTGCCAGCAGGACGTGTAAGTTGTGACACAAAAGTCTTTATTAGGAAGCAGATCACAATCAGGCTGCATTCCAGCTCCACTTCTTCATTAAACAACAATAATGATAAGAAACAAATTACAAACGTCTTCAGTAGAAAATAATTCGCTCATGCGAGTTCTGTGTTCACACTACATTCAGATTGATAACAGATGATTTAAAAAAAAACACTAATAACTTAATTACAGAGCTTTGAAAAGTAAAATAAAGAAATGTAAGCAAGTAACACCAAAGAGACACGTGCTGACACATTTAAGTTTCCCATCATGCAAGTGTGGTTGTTTTCTATTCACAAGGCGGGCATCAGTGGTCTCCAGAGAGTTGTGTTGGCGTGCATGCATGCATGTGTGTGTGTGTTCTTATGTGTGCCCTTTTGTGCTTAAGCATTGATCTATGTGCAGGTGTTTGTGTGTCATCTGTACGTGTGTGCACACATGAAGCAGACAACCTGGGTGATCTGTCACTTCCTGGTTCTTTTGAGCTGCAATCTGAAATGTAAAAGCTCTGTCTGAGCCCACACGACACATGGAAACACCTTTACAGACTGCTGCAGGAGCAACTCCACTGATTTTTGGTCCGTTGGACTTCTGAACTGTTTAAAATGAATGAAACCTGACGCAGCAGTGGCAAAATATATATGAACTTACACACAAGTGAATTTACTTGAGGATATTTGTTAGATTTGATGTGTAAAAATCAGTGAAGTTCCTCATAGTGCACACAGACACGAAGAAAAAACTTTATTCTCTTAACTCAAAATAAATTTGGTGGCTAAAATCAAAGGCATGAGCTGGTGTCTCCAAGCTAGTCGTGCTTTTGGATTTAACAATCCCTTTGGAGAAAAGGCTCTGTTAAAGATAAGTGACATTCAAATGAACAGTTTTTGGTAGCTTTCAGCAATATTAAATAAAGACAACATGTTACATAAAACCTCATGCAGCGTCACTGACATTTAGTGCTTTTAAAGACACTACAAGACGAGTTAGACTATGGCTGTGTCTGCTCATTTTGAACTTTTTTTTTTGCAAGAAAAGCTAAAATGCTTTTTTTAAATCCCATATGAGCAAAAAAAGAACATTTGATTATTTTTAAATGCTTGGCGGTGACTCTGATGGCTTTATTATATAAAAATAAATAAACAAACATAAGCTCTGGTACTTGGAAATTTGTTCCTACTAAAAGAAAAATAAAACCCCCTCTTCCTCTATTAGTTAAAGATGACACTCTTCCAATGGGAAATAATGACTCCATCGATAGAATGTCAGCGATTTACAAAAAACAAAAAAAAATTAAATGATGCAGTCACAAGTTTCCCATTTCTTGAATCTGGATAGTGCACTTGGTGCTCTTGTAGTTTTAAATATTTGACAGCGCTTATGTTTTGGGAGTGTAGGTATTGCTCACAATCGAAGAGGCCGTTTTGCAGACGTGACGATCCACTCATACAAACGCACACTTTCATACACATGCATGTGCACATTAGCAAAAGACACGGAATGTTGGTCCACAGGGTTCAGTCAACACACAAACGGATTACTATTGCCTTCAGAAGATGTTTTTTCGTTTGTTTTTTTTTTTTTACATGTGCGGACGAGGAAAGAGGAAAGAGGAAAGTGTTCTGCCGGGCAGCGTCCAGTGATGCTCCAGAACAGAACATCTGATATGTTCGTTATGTAGCTGAGCAGGTGGGGAGGAGAAGCTTACYAACAGAGGCATAAACGATGCATTTCAGTTTGTGAAATGACAACCCAGTCCACTGATCTTGTAGCCCTTCTTTTTTTAATAAGATGCACTATGTGGGTGTGAGACGATGAGTATTGCTCCATGGTGAGAAGCATTTTAAATAAAGCACAATTATTCTTCCTGTCATCACGGTTATCCTCAGAACTGCTCACCGTTAGCGTGTTCTCTCTACAATAAGTGCTAGTTTATAAAAAATAATTTAAAAAAATGTGTTTTTGCAGGGATATGTGTACCATGCAGATAACATGTTGGAGGCACCCGTCTTTTATGCAGGGATGGGAGTGGCTGCCGTGTTTACAAAGAAGTGGATCACAGTGCTCCTGGGGTCAACATGCAGGATGAGAGTACACTACAGCAAAGACTAGCCCCCCTCAACACCAAGCCAAGGTCAGTTTTGGATTAGTTTGGGGGCGGAACGAATCCCAATCTTAGATCTGTGAGCTCCCAAGGACACGATACGGCACTCTGTAGGAAGTCTGCGCAGAGCAAATGAGGCGGGGAGGGGGTGCAACACAGGCAGACAGAAGAGTGGATGGACGGACACAGCGTAGCTGAGCAAGAAGTGCTCACCTTAAGATGCAGAGAAGCAAAAGTGCAAAGTGTTAGCTTTCAAACTAATAACATGGTTCATCTGTGGCTTTGTGATGCTTTTCAAACAACGAAATAACCAGCGTATAAAAGGTGTCATAAGAAAGAGTGACTGCTTGTTAATGTAACCCTAAACTAAGAGCTGGAACTGGTGCAGATGCAGAAAGAATCCAAACAAAATCAAATCTCCTTATAAACGTTTTCCACCATGTTTGCATTGCAATGTAAATGTTGCATAATGTATGCAGATATATGTACAGGTTTACATGTGTGCTTCTATATTGCACAGGGTTTTTCATGTAGGCGTGAGGGGCTGTGTGTGTCTGTTGGGTGTGTTTCTGGTGTTTTTTTTTGTGCACACGTGTTTCGTCCTCCTCCTCGCCTCTCAGCTGCGGCCCTCCTCAGCCGAGCGCTGGTCCGACTTGAGCTTGACGAACTCTTTGGCCACGTCGTCGTTGTTGCGCTGCGAGAGGATGCGCAGCACCGTCAGGCCCGTCTCGTCCATGTGGACCCGTCTTCCCAGCGGCAGCCAGCAGGTGACACTGCCCTTGCTGGCCATGTCCTTCACCTGCAGCACGGCCATGCCCACGGTGCGGTCCTCTCTGGCAAAGCAGTAGTCCTTCACGCACACCTGCAGCTCGTAGCTCTCTGGACCCACCTCCGTGCCCAGCGAGCTGAAACAAAACAAAAAACAGTTCATCTTTTCAGTCATGAACTGCATCAATAGGGCTGGGTAAAAAACATCAATTTAATCGATTTTGGATCGATTTAATTTAAACTTGGGAAAAATCGATTCACAGGACATGAGATCGATTCCTCCCCACGGCGTCTTGTGCGCACGTCGGAGGCGCGTTTCCGTATTTTGTCTCTCCTTGGCTTGCCGTATGTTTACATCCAGTTGATGTTCAGTGCTAACATTAGCTTTCAATAACAAGTTGTCTGGATCAAAACAAAAGAAACAAAAGGAATCACTAACGTTATCAGCCGACTCTCAGCAGAACTTAAAGATGACAGAGACCACGGCGACTTTTGTTTGCAAAGATTTACGCTCCTACGCGGTAGGGAAATGAAGCGGGGGTTTGACGAGCGGCTCGTTCAGGTGTTTCAACCAAACTACTGTATGTAAACATCTGACTGAACTGTTCTTCACAGCATGTTTAAATGTGTTAAAGATGACACTCTAACAAAATCATTTAGTTTTGTTTCCAATATTACCAACTTTAAGAAAAGTCCTGAAATCCAGAGTGATGAAATGTTGTAGTTGTATTATTTGTTTTAATAAGTAATATGTAATGAGTTTTTTGAACATAGCAACAGAAGGTAAGAGAAACATTACAAATATACAATTTTCATATGCTCAAAAGGATTGAAGTATACTTATATTAGCCCACCTCTTCTCCTGTTATTCTCATCACTTCCTATTCATCAAAATAATTATTAATTGCTTAAAAATGAATGCATCCAACAACACTGTCACCTGCGACTCCTTTTTACTTGTGACAGTTTTCCTTCAAGATTAAACAGTTTAATTTAAATTTGTTCTTAAAACCTGTTGGTGAAGAGAAAAAATAGTGATAATGTATTTTTGCAACACAGTTGAACCATTTTCATTACTTAAAAGCAGATCGAATTGAAGAATCRAATTGTGAYTAATGGATTCAGAACCTTATGAACTGAAATGGAATGGATCTAGAGCAGTGGTTCCCAAACTTTTCAGCTTTTGACCCACAAAATACCAGCAGCAGAGACCTGTGACCCCAGCTGTTGTCGGTTGATAAACATTATTTTCACGTCAAATAAACAAGAGCGTAGTAACATTATTTATTACGCTATTTTTGTCCATTTTAAGTAAACTAGTCTTATTATTTTGTTACAACAAAGGCAAAAAAAATGTTCTTAGTTGTCATTTTTTTGTGTAATTATTTCAAAATATATTTTCAGGACCCCACCTTGATGTTTCAAGACCCCAATGAGGGTCCCGACCCCAACTTTGGGAACCACTGATCTAGAGGATTGGCCACGATACCCAGCCCTAATCGTGAGTGGATACTCACTACTGGAAGCTCTCGTTGAACTTTGGAGACCAGCTGTTGTTCTTTGATTTGGTGGCAAACTTTCTCTTCTTGTCGCTSAGGTGAGGACCAATAATGTAGACCTCCACGAAGGGCCTGAAGCCCTGTGCTTTCCACTTCAGGTCATTGGCCGCCACCACTGATGGAAAAGAAAATCATGAGCAACATACGGCCCACACCATTTCTGACAAGTGCTCAGACCACCTCGRCCCATTCAGAAGACGCRCAGAGGGGAAATGAAGCACMCCACCTCTGCAGCAYCTAACAGCTCTGGAAAGGTGGGCTGGCGTAGTGCCAACACCTTCAGGGACCACCCAGCAGAACACCAGAGCCTCATCGTACTCAGCACTATGATTCAAGCTGCTCCGCACTCTCACCTTTGACACCGATCTTGTGCTCTCCGTTGGGCTGGGGTAAAATGTCCACGTTCATGACCACCTCGCCCACTGCATCCACACCAGCTGCTGCAGAAACAAACCTGGTTACAGACACTTCAGACACTCAAAGCTGCTCAAACAAGAAGCTAAAAGAGGAGTTCTGAGGCATGCAGAGCCGCTCTGTGGATTTGTGAATCACAGAGGTGTCTGGAAACTAGATTGGGTTCCAAAGGTTATCTTTTTTGGAGGAGAGGTGTACCTTTCTCTGGTGAGGTGTCTTCATTTGCAGAGTATCTGATCCCTTTCCCTCCGTGGACTGAGGGCAGACACAAGAGGTTAAGAATTAAAAAATGRCAAAGAAGCTGAAACACTTTTTTTTGGTTCTAAACTCTTTGAACCTACTTTGTGGACAAATCGTACATTACATTCTGTGAGTGTTACAGAGTGAAGTCGTACCCTGAGCGCTCTGCGAGAGGACAAACTTCCTGATGAGCTTGTCTGTAGCCTGTGTGTACAGAGACAAGGCGTAGCGCAGGGACTGCAGATCAGGACTCTTCTCCAAGAAGGTCTTCTTTAGGCCGACACCACCCGCATGGAAGTATTGCTGTGTGACAGATATGACACATAACTGAACGGAGAGTAGACAGGGTCTACACCAACATAGAAAACTGCCTTCATTTAAACCAATCAAATACATGATGGAGCAAGATAAATGATCAATGTATCAAGGAGGGTATTAGGAGTCTTTTGATGTTTTTGTGATAATTAAATGGCTTATACTCAAAATATTTAGTTCAAAAATTAATATTAATATGATTAAACAGTTGATTTTGTAAGCACACTCCATATAAGAATAAAAGTTGCATATTTWCCCCTTTGATAAGGTTTCATAATGTGCAAATCACTTGTCATACATGGATTTATTATGTGCTAATCTAAAACACAAGTAGCTACAATAGAAAGAATAAAAAAGCACTAAACACATATCATACCTTAATAGTATCAAGTGCCAGTTCTATGACTGCACACTGTTTAGGGGTTAGAGCCTTGGCCTCCTCTCGGCCCATATGCTCCTGCAGAAAACAGTCGTATAAAAAATGTGTTTCTGAAGTGCACATTTGTTATAGTTTGATTATTTATGCTGGTGTCTGCAATAATCACCTTGAGTTTAGAAAGCTGACCCAGCTCCTTGGCAGCGTTGAAGATCATCTGAGTGCCCTGTCGAAGACAGGTGGACAGAGACRTGAGCATGATGTTGGGGTTAAAACAGCCTTTGTTAGGAAATGTGCAAGGAATAAAGATTCACCAAGTGAGACGTATGTGAGGAGAAAAACTGATATGAGTGAAAATACGTTTAAACCATCTTAGGAGCCATTTTTTGGAAGTGGAAGGACTAAAGTTTGCAGTAAGCTGTATGTATCGTGTTGCTAATCAAAAGTTTTGTTTGTATTTACAGAAGAAAGATGTGAAAGATCACAGAGGGTGATAAGGTTTCAGTTAAAAAATCGTGGTTTCCATGCTTTTAAAGGCCACACACATACAGTACTTACAATAACCTGAGAGAGGAAAAACAAGGGTGAAAATGGGGAAATGATTTAATACAGCAATGGAAACAGCACTGAACGTATGAGGCACAGAACATGGACGTGTGGGCTTTTTTAAGACTCACAGTCTGGTCTGTAAGTGTTGGAAGCACGATAGTTTTTTCCATCGTGTTCATCACAAGTTTCCACAGCTCCTTCAGCACTCGTTTCAGAACCGTCTTCTCACAGATCTTCGCAAACAGCGACAAGCTGGAACACGAAAACACAAAAATCTTTCAAGTGACAGCACCAAACAGACCTCCTGTGTTTTTATTTAAAGTGTGTTTATAAAAAGAAAAACGATAGAACAATGTAAGTTTGGAGCAATGTAAGCTTTAAGCAGATCRCATCTTGTTTCAGATAATATCTTGTTTTTTCCGGACAATAACACCACTAAAACCGCATGTAATTAAAAATATTCAGGTAACAAAGTGGTTAGTGATATTTGTCACATTATGAAACAAACAAAAAAATAACACACATAATCAAGAACATGTCCTAGACTCCTTAACTTTTTCTTAAATTTGCTGCTGGTAAAAATCTTTAATAACATTCTTCATTGCGCTACATTAAATTGTATGTTTGAAATAACTTGTAAATCTTATCAATTAGAGGCCGGCATGTGAACAGGGCTGAGTGATAAAACAATAATGATGTATTGCAATAGACACATAATCACTATCAATWGAAAATATGTTTGATAATTTGTTAATAATTTCATTGAACTCTGATTCAGAACTGCACAGCATTCTGGGGGATGTAGGCAGAGGTAAGGCTTTAGCTGCTCAACCCCTCACCACCCAGCTAAGCAAGGATGGTGTCGTCAACTCACTCTTTGGCTGAGTAATACGCATTATCAGTTAATGTTTTACCATCAGAACTGCTTCAAAATACAAAAGAAAAATGCGGAGGAAATTGTGGATAGAGGAGAGAAAAGGCATGTCACCTTTTTTCTCCAGATTTTATTCCAAATAGGTAAAAAAAATCAAAAAAAGTCATAAAATGCTAATATTGTCATACATTTTTTTGCCATATCACCCAGCTCTACATGTTAAGGCGATCAGTATCCATGAAACTTACTTGCTGTCCAAAAAGTCCATAATGGGCTGCAGGACATTGTCAGCCTCCTGCACCACGCTGCCATTTGCAGGAACTGTCTGTCCTTTCACTTGAGCTAAAATGTCCCCCATTTGCCTCACGTTATCCTCAATCTGTGGCTGGAAACTGTAACAGGATACAAAGAGTAAAAAGGGAAAAACATGAGAACATATTCTAAAGTCAGCAGTTTGTGGTCGAGCAGAATCAAACAGAAACGCTGACCTGACAGCGAAGATGCGGCTGAGGTCGTCCATGACGTTGTTTAACTTGTTCTGGAGYTCCTTCAGGAAGTCGCTGGCCTCCACGTTGAGCTGGAAGCAGCACGGWCGTGATGCGCACAGCAGCCAAGTGGTTTTAGTTCAAATAAAAACAAAGATGGAAACTCACGTCTTTGCCGCCCATGGCCTCAAACATCTTCTCCAGCTGAACTCTGAGCTGCTGGATGTTATTGATGATGATACACGGCTGATGGAGGGAAGAAAAATATATTTCACACACTGGCACACGCACACTCGTTTTTGTCTCTTTCACACTTTCCATTCCTGGTGTTTGGCCATATTTGTTTATTTTAAAACACAAAGCCGTGCGGGACAGGACACGCAGTATTTTTCAGTAATTACTGTTTCTCTCTGGGGCTCTGGTCTCTGGGAGTGCAGCCTGATTCCCCCCAAGCCTACACCACTTTCAGCTAATTACACAACCCCAATTCACTGAGAACACCACAACCTGGGCTCAGCTATTACACCGAGGAGCAATTTAATGTGTCCAAATGAATCAACTTGACCATAAACCTTGCATACATTAAAAAATACATTCTGAATCGCACTTATTTCCATTAACTATCTTGTTGTGTCGAAAATATATATTCCATACAATGTCCAGCTGAAATACCACAGTCACTTACCACTTTCTCTTTCTTGACATGATTTGGAAAGTCCTTCGCTATGATGTCGGCATAAGACAGCAGGACATTGCCAATGGTCTAAGAGAAATAAACAGTAAAAAGGCATTAGGATAATATTGAGTACTGAGGTAAAGGTATGGTAGAGCAGAAGGAGGAGAAAGTCACCTTGGCGAATCTCTTCATGTAGTTGCCGACAATCTGAGGGTCTGGACACTCCAGCTTGCGAATGATTTCAAAGCTCTGATTGAGCTGAGAGAAGACGTCCACCACTGAGCAGGAGAACAGAGCATGCTCCGACGTGACCTGGAACTGGATATCGAGAGAAGGGACCAGAGGGGAAAGTTGAAGGAGGTGTTTTAATGTGCTGATGCTAACATTGAAACAGAGGGATTCGATTCCCTGAAACACCGTACTGAACCCAGGGAGTCCGGTTCTGTGGTCCTGTTGGCGTCATTATACTTTGATCTTCAGCTCACTGGAGTGGTTCACAGCTGAGTTGAAGTGGCTGGTATGAGGTTCAGCACCTCAAATCTGAGTTCACGGTCCTCAGTTGGACAAGGGTGGATTGCTGTCTCCGTGTTGGAGGTGAAGTTCTGCCTCAAGTGGAGGAGTTCGTATCTTGGGGTTTTTATTCACGAGTCAGGGGAGAATRAAGCAAGAGAGGGACAGACAAATCAGTGCAGCTTCTGCAGTTTTGGGGACTCTGCACTTTTGTGGTGAAATGGGATGTGAGCTGTAAGGCAAAACTCTCTGTTTATCTGTTAGTCTAGGTTCCTACCCTCACTTATGGCCATGAACTTTGGGTAGTGACCGAAAGAACGAGATCATGATACAGGCCATCTAAATTCTGTTTGAAAATTACGGATTTTTGAGGGTCATGATACAGGTAAACGTCCAAAGGACGCCTCCCTAGGGAGGTGCTTCAGGCATGTCCGAATGGGAGGAGACCCCAGGAAAGACCCAGATCACACTGGAGAGACTATGTTATGCCTTGGAATCCTCCCAGAGGAGCTGAAAGAGGTGGCTGGGGAAGATAATGAATGAATGAACAGTGAAATCAAGTCTTGGGAGTTGGTTTGTTTGAAAGTATTTGATGAGAGAAAAAGGTGCTGATCAAAGGGTCATCACTGCAACTTAGCCATTAACCCAGAGGTGAACGGTGTGGCGGTTTGGGACGAAGTCTGATGAACATCATTTGCGCTGACACAGGAGAGTAGATGCAGCCCCAGGCGACGGTAACTGGACTTAAAGGATCCTCCGTATACAAGACAGGAGACTCTTCAGCTGCTCTGTATCGACCTGCTGCATGGTTCGTAGGTGTGAGCAGGAAAGAGTGTGAGACACTGCGTGGTGTGTGTGTGTGTGTGTCTGTGTGTGTTTACATAGACTTGTGCTGTAGCATCTGCTCTGTTCCACAGAGAGGTTTTTTTCAGTGTCTTTGGTATTGAGTCAACATCGATTGCCTTGAGGCCTCCAATCTGCTCTTCACAGCTCAGCTTGGAAAGTGCTGAGTCGCAGAGATGAATTTGCATGAGGGATGCATTAATGCATTTTTGGGGGTGAATGCTACAGGTTCAACATCTCTTCTATGCTTAATGGCTTCTACTGATGCCTCAGCATAATCTAATTGTTGAATTTAGCTTTTATTTTAGAGCTCATGACATTAAAACAGCATCACAGAAGTTTTTCATATTGTGTCTTTTTCAAAACATAAACTAATGCAAGCAACATGTCTTGATTCCACCTGTTAACACGATGAAATAAGCATCAGAGCAGCATACAAGACCCACTTACCCCGTCTTTCTTGTCCCTCTCCAGGGCTCCATGGAGAAAGTCTCTGGACACTTCCTCATTTTCATCCAACCACATGATGACAAACGGCTCAAACCAGCTGCAGAACAAAGACTAGATTAATCATTGCTTCACACGTTCTCATAAGTACTGTAAAGGTGTGCACAGAAAACACTCACGCTGGATATTCTGGTACATGTTTCTGGAAAGTAGGCAGTTCCTTGCAGTACTCGTTATAAAGCCACTTCACCTTAAAGTGCAGGTTCATATAGTCTGCACTTTTACACAGACGATGCTTCTCATGCTCTGAAGAACAAAACAAAAACAAATAGAAACTGAGGAAAGCCCTGCATCACACTTCTTTTCTTTCTCTTACAAAGAATAAATATTTCAGAAATCCAAACATAATCCCAGAAACAGAAATCGTACCCTCCATGGCGTATTTCATATCTTGTGCAAACATGTTCCACATGACTTCAGCGCTGATCTTACCCACATTGAGTTCTTGAGGAAACCTTTAAAAGACAAAAAACTGTAAATCAGAAAATGGTTTTACTTTATTAAACAAGAAACAAATTTTATCTACCATTCCCTCTCTGTCTTTCCACCACAGAAATCTAAATTAATACGAATATGCTCATAGTTCCCCAAAAAGGAAGCCCATGAGCCCCTTTAAATCATCACACTTTAAATTTAATGTTTTTAAATTACTACCAAATATTCTTTATTTTTTATTCATGAAATTTAAAATGCTGCTTAATTTTCTCTTCTGCACATTACGTTGGCCCGCAATGCGTCCTGAGCTGCTTTCTCATGAAGCCTCTCCTAAACACAAAGATCGATTCTTCAAAAACAAACTCACTGATTGAGGCAAGGAGTGTAGGAATTTTTATCCTCTTCTATGATGGAAACAATAAGAGTGATAAGTTTCGACCAGAAGTCCAGGTTTTTGATGCTGGGACCCTGCTCGTCTGGAGGGACGGCTTTTGACTAGAAATCAAAAAGACATTGTATTTTATTATCTGAAAAGCTGCACCCATCGAGGATGTCTTTATTATAACAAATAGTACAATATTAATTCACAAGAACCCTGTCCAGGCAACTTGTGTGCTCGTGAACTCACTGGGTCTGTCTGATATTCCCTGTTGTAGAGATCGTGGCAGTTGTTGAAAATGTACTCGTAGGTGGAGTTCAGACAGGCTTTTACACAGTCCTTCACCACCTGACTGGCTCTGGGGGGACTCTGCAGCTCCTGGACCTGAACACAAACACAAAACAACATGTTACCTCAGAATATGAGGTCTCAGCAGGAGGTTATCTCAGCATGAATTTAACCAGAGACCTAATGAGCTGTGAAAACTGGACTGATCGTGAAAATGCCCCAGATATTAAGATGTAGTTTTATTGTACATTTAAAAGGGGGTCGTGCTGAGTCTTTTCTCATTACTGTTCATTTCACAATATTTAGTTAAGAGCTGGAAAAAAAGAAGAGAGAAAATAAAATTCTTTTGATATTTATTCTCACCTTCATCCTGAAAAATGTGATGCTTGTCAGCAGATCTACAGTAGATTTGAGGTCTTGAAGTCTTTCAGGACTGCTGGCAGGGAAATTATTCTTAAAGTGCACACAAATAGAAAAAAWATATATATATACTGTATATATATAAGAAACTGCAACAACAGGCATCCTAGTTTTAAACACAGCCCCAAAATAGATGACAAATGAGCACACCTGCACATATGCATCTAAAAATAGCACACAGATAATCTACAGCGCTCTTGAGAGTCTTTAAGCAGTGCATAAATTTGAATCAGCAGTAAGTACCCGATACATGGACAGGTCGATCCTCAGGGAGTTGTGCAACTGATCCAGCAGTTTGACAAACCTCTCTTTCTACACAGGAGACAGAAAAAAAACAGGGCACTCAGGAACACAACGAGCTACAAGGATTATTTGTTACAGCCCGACTGGCTCTGATCAGACGGAGCTTATTGACGTCTCACGTTGCCAGCTAGAAAACATTCAGCAGTCAGGAATCCCTCGTCTCTGAACCGTTTCTGAACATTACTCTTCTTGCAGTAAAATTTTCAGACTTACGCCAAAATTTGATGCAGCAAATCTGTCTGAGGCAGAAACATTGTTGGAGGACTGGGTGGTGTGGGCGTAGTACGCGTTGATGTTGGCGAGCAGTGTGCTCATCACAGCTGGCACTCCGGGGCACATGTACTTCGATGACAAACAGGCAAAGTGGCTGTGGGATGAAAACACCAATAAGAACGTTTAATTATTATCTTTTTCTCTTCATTACAGCATTTAAATGTTTAAGACTCAGTGGCAATGCTTCAGACTCTCTGTAATCATAAGGTTTAAAGTTTGATGTAATGCTTGAAGTACTGACGTCATGGCCTGGTAAATGGACTCTACTCCATATCTCATAGCAAACTCGTCCACTATCTCCTGTGCAGTCTCGTCGAAGTACACCTTCCAAGCATCGTCACCTTTGGCATCAGGGATCTTTACTACACCGCTGTTCTGATCCTCCGTGGTGTACTGAAACAGATGCTGAACAACAAACAAACACTTATGTTGACATTTACACCTTTAACATTAAAGGCAGTTGTGCTTGTAAGAATAAAAAATATACTTTATTTTCTTTTACTGTCCAGAACTTTCTTTTCCAAACAGTTTCAAAGTAATTTAATTGTTAAACTGTTATTTTAAATCTAACAATTAGAGATTCAACAAATGGTTAGCCTGAAATTTTTACCAGCTGATGTTCCCCTTGATCGGCTTAAATCTGCATCTCTTTAAGTGTCTATAAACGGTCAGTACTGACAAATACAACATCTTTTTCAGTTCGTGAATGCACCATAATGAATTAGAGAGGTTGCTTTTGCATCTTCAAAACATTTGTTCAAATAATCGGAGAGCCACGTGTCCTGTTCCACTGACCTCGTGCAGACAGGTGTACTGGACGTGATAAGGAGCCACAGTCTCCTCTCCTTTGATCTCCACACTTATGTGCATCCGGATGGCCCCCGACACGGCAGATTTATCGGTTCTCTTGTCTGACACACACATACAGACGTGCACGCCTCATCAGTTAGATGAAATCTGCTACATCCGACAAGCACTTAGGTTATCTGTGTCTTGTGCATTAATCTCTGCGTGACTTTCTCTCCTCCTTTTTTAATCCCACCCCAGACGCCTTTTTTAATTCTGTCTCACAGAAACTCACCCAGGTTGTACCAAACGTCCATCTCCCCGCTCAGAGTGCGCACTTCGATGATGGTTTGACCCAGGAAGTCGTCGCTCTCGCGCTTGAACCTCTGCTTCACGCGGGACTTGATGTCATCGTCCTCGTCCCACACGCGAACTTTAATACGGTCAGAGGAGTTGTGGCATTCACTGGATGAGGCAGAATTCAACGGAGGATATAAAAAGTTAGAAACAGAAAGAAACAAGCACGTGCATTTCTAGTCATTCAAAATCAACTAAAATGTGGTATGCCAATTTGAATTTATATGTGCTGTTAAAAAATGCAAAATAATTTTAGAAATTTATGTCAGTATTTGAAATTTTAAATCTAATAGCATTCCACTTTACTCACAAGTGAAAACTCTCATCCCAGACTGGATTTAGGTTGCCATAAATGGTCTTGGTTCTCTTTTTTGTCTTCCCAACTTGAACGGTTACATATGGGTCACTGGAGCCTGTTTTGTCTTTAGCTTGAAGGCCCTGGGCACACACCACTAAAGCAGAAACAGGCAGAAATATATTTAAACAAAGACAATGACGGTGATTTTACTATGAAAATCCTGTTCGAATTACCATCAGTTCATAACTGAACGATTTGGATCAGAAGAAACAAACCTGTGATGCTAATCTTCGCTGACCATTTTGAGGTCCCGTCGAGCACGCTCTGCTTGATCTGCTTCATCTGAGTGCCGTGTGCTGTCTTGTCGAGGCCAAACACTTCYTGGATCAGCTCGAAGATCTCTGGCTTGTTCCTCTCTCTGATCTTCATGCGGTCTTTCAGGACCATGATGATGTTCTGGGTCCGGTCCTCTGCACCATGTTTAGAGCTCTTCTCTGCAGCTCCTTATGTGACAGAGAGTTTCAGTTCAGGATAAATGGTTAATGATGTAAATATATCACATATCTGAGATGAACATGGCTCTAAAGCCCAGAAGCTTCACTCATGATTTCAGACAATAAATCCCTTCGACGCTAAGCATCAAGTCTTGATAGCATCATATTAAAAAGTTTTTTAAAGCCTTTTTCTGGCCACTTACCAAACCAAAACCTCTTAATTACCCCACTTAACCACGGATCAAATGGACATAAACAATGGCACAGTTTGTGCAACTGATTTTACAAAACTCATTGCTCAGAGGAAAGAAATGGTTTAAGAATATCATGCATTTATGTTAAAACCAAAATAGCAACTTTATAAGTCAGTCTTTGTGAAGTTGAATTAGATGAAACAGTATGAATGCAAAGCCTGTGGGAAGATGAAGAAAAAAACGAGGCAGGGTTGTGACAGCACATTACTCAGGAGATAAATTGGAAAGAAGAAGGGAGGAGAATGGGAGAGTGGCTARAGGGCAAGAATAATGGGATGTCAATCTGGCAGAAAGGTACAGAGGAAGAGCTCAAACAGTTTGGGTGGAGGATGAGGYGCGCATTCACCGACAGAAAGACTGACGATGGCATGTGTGCGTGTGTGCAGGAATGAGCGTGACCTTACTCTGCAGGCAGTCGGCATTGAGCAGATCCTGGCACTTTTCGTGGCATTTCACGCCGCACTCGGCGCAGCGCATGCCCTGCCGCGCAATACCCCACAGCAGCCCCTCGCATTCGTAGCAGTAGGTGGGGGTGGTGGCGGTCCACACTTCAAAGTTGTGTGGGGTGGTGGAGGAAATGGGGTAAATCAGAGCCTGCAGCGTCTTCTTATAAACGTGGCTTTTCTGCAAGTGCAGTGGATTAAAAAAAGATTCATTTTAAAAGTGAATACATGTTGAAAAGAACTACAACATAAAACAAAATAAAAAACGCACCAGTTCTTCATTGCCGAGAGTGGTTGAAGCCATRGCTGAGGTAATTCCAGCTTTACGTGAATTCTGAACTAGAGACTGAGAGTGCGAGAGCAAAAAGTGTTTTAGATACATAAAAAATAAATCACAATTCTGATTTAGGAGAAAAACAAATACTTACCATAGCCTAATGAGGCAAAGCCAGGAAGAAACACAGGAGATTTAAAAAGAGACATAAAAATAGAAAAACATTTTAAGCAACAAGTAGTCTTTAAAATGTAAGAGTGTCTGTGCATGTGTCAAAATTTATTTAAATCTGATGTTCTTTATAGTAAAGAGCGGTGTGGCTACACAGATTATGATAACAGCATTAAAATTAGATTTGTCATTGCCATTGCTTAAAATAAATAAAATAATAAAAAAAGAATGAATGAATGATTTTATCTGTTCGGGACAGTGTGCAATTAAAACATAATTTGATGCATTGCACCAGATTTAGCCTAAGGCTAATTTAATCTGTAGAATAATTTCACCAAAAGATCTTTTGAACATTTTTCAAAAAATTGAAGGACTGTATTGAACTGTTTTTCATTAAGGAATAATTTTCATGTGCAGCAATCCTTTCATCCTTTTTGGTACAATCATGGTGTGAAGATATTTTATGGATTGGCAAGCCCTGAGAAACTGTTTAGTGGTAAAGCAAAGATGGACAGAGCTACACAYTGACAGTCCTCCTGAGTGAAATAAGCCAAACCTTCAGCCTGAAAACAACCCAGGAATATTGCTAAACAGATGCAAGTTGTTGAAAAAAAAAAGAGTAAATGTCTTAGAATGACCCAGACCATAGAAACAGCTTTGAGGACTTGGTCTGAAAAAAGGGACTTGACAAATTATTGACTTTAGGAGTTACCTTTTATGCACAAGAATGCTTTCCATCTTTTGTTTCCTCGTTTTCTGCTTTACAGTAAAAATTATGTGCATAGATGTTCCTACTTTGTATCCTAATTCTAAGCTAAAAAGTACTCTTCAAGGCAGTGTAAGTGTAGAAAAGACATTAGTGGAGAGTTCACGCTGTCTACAGATGGAGGTTTAGATCCCACAGGTGTGAAAAGTGTTAATGTACAGCATGACTTTGTGTTCAGCTTGTTTCTCACCAGATCTCTGACAAGAGGAATAGCTTTTCTTTTGCGAAGGTCCGGCATGCTGTCAATACTGTAGAGCGCACCTCCCATTCTGAATGAGAAAAGGTCACATGTTTTTCTACATTTATTTGAATGTTTATCCCAATTTATAGCTAGGCAAACATCAAAACAATTTGTAATTATTATAAAATAGTTTCCTGCTGAAGGCTAAATTATCTATTATTTTTGTTTTTATACTAAGCTGGAGCTAAATTCTCTTTAATAGAAATGATTACTTTCACACTCCTGCCTGTGGCAAACATGTCACTTATTCAGTATGAATCTATAGTCCTCAGACTCATGTCWGCCTCATCTACACACATCCTGCCAGCTAAGCTGGGGCAGCCCGCTGTCATTCAGTATGCACTGGCTTAATGCCACCAGTCAAACCTGCCTGTGAATCAAAGATTTATAATAGAGGAGTTCCAGATTTAAAAATAACTAAAGAAGTGGCGGTAAGTTTTTTTTTTTTTAAACCAGCTAGGATTATTTTGACAAAATAAAAAAATCAACTGATAAGTAAAACTCACCCTCCTTTACCAAACCACAGTGAGCTGGATGTTTCTCCTCGAGCCTGAGGGAGAAAAAGAAGGAAGATGGTGACCAAAAAGTATTTTTAAATATTTGTCCCTGTAGTATTTTCTAGTCCTGATATACTTCTAACAATATATATAATAAACCATATTTTTATCAAACTATTTCAATAATATTTCAGTTATGTGTTCAGTAAAAGTAGAAAATAGACAAGTCGGTAAACACTACTGTAGAGTATCTACTGTATGTGCTTTACAAAAAGGTTTTGCATTTTTAAGGACAGAAACTGCAGAAAACCACCAACCTGCATGACAGCTTTAGTAAACTACAACAAAAGATATTGCTGTGAAAATGAATGMGCAAAAAAGTGAAGGGGTCTGAAGCGTCATCAACCAGATGCATCATGGCCCCGTTCGGGCTGTACCTACCTGTCAGCATGCTCCAATGACGGCCGAGCAAAGTGCATGTGAGTGTCACAATGGCAATGACATGAAACTGGAAAGAAAACAAAGTGGGTCGGCACAAATAAACAAAAAAATAAAATAAAATAAAAAAGCAGGAAAAAGGAGGGAAGCAAAACGTACGAAAATGCAACACACATCAACATAAACATCAAAGCAAGTGATTAATTCTCTGCACAACTGAATTTAAATGAATAAACAAAATGTGCAAGTGGAAACTGACCAAGCAAAATTAAACGTGCTCAACTGAATCAAGCAGTTTTGTCAAGCAAGTGTGGAGCTTCATCCAAACTCAAGTAAAAGCTTGCTGCATGACAAGTAATCTTATTTTTAAAAAGCTGGAAGTATCAATTATRGATGATGGAAAGCTTCACGTTTGCTTTCCTGTGACTTGCAGGAAAAAAAAATTATTAAAATAGCCTTTGAGAAGTTGCTGGATGTACTTAGTCTGCACATTAATAATGCACAGCACATGTATATTTCAAAGACTTGGGAGACACATTTTGCAGTTCTCAAACTGGCATCTGTTTTAGATTACAGGATGGAGCTAAATCCAACCTTCACCTCTGAGTTCTGACGGGATACATTTATGAACAAAGAACACATGACCAACTAAAACCTGGTACCCAGATCGATTGGTCCACGTACCTCTCTGAGCTGGTCCAGGACTTTGTTGTAGAGCCTCAGCCAGTTCTCTTTAGCTCTGACTGCTGGATCCACTGGCTCTTTTGGCTCCTCTATTACTGGAGGACTGGAAAAACAAACGTATTTTGTATTGATGATTGAGTTCATTGATCTCAGTCCCTTTCAACCTTCCCTCCTACCTCTCAGGTGGCACCTCTTTTTCCTCCTCTGGTGTGAGTGGTCTGCTTTCTTCAAAATGCTCTTCTTTCTGCTCTACAGGAAGCTTCTCCTCGTGTAGAGCAGGAGGCGTTTGAGCCTCTGTCTCCTTTATCGTTTCTTTCTCTGACCACAATTCTTCCTCCTGCTGGGGAGCCTCATCCTCAAGCACAGCCGACGGCGTGGTGGAGGGATCTTTGACGTGGGATTCGGGGGATGCAGAAGATGGGATCTGCTGAGATGGAAGCCCCGTGGCAGTGGAGGGTGGCTGGGAAGCTGAGTTAGTCAAGGTGGCTGGGTGTGATGGAGGGACAGAGTTAGCAGCAGTGAACTGCTGCTGCTGAGATGCAGTTGATGCTGGAGGATGAGGCTGGGCAGGCTGGGCGGACTGGGCGGTGGGAACTGAAGACAGGAAAGTTGAAGCCAAGCCTGTGACTGCAGCTGTTAAAGGTTTGGCCATTGAGAAGAAGGAAGTGGCAGACGGGGCTGGCTGTGGCTGAGGTTGTGTTTGGGGCTGCGCTTGTTTTGGTGCTTGGGCTGCTTGTTGACCCGTTGGGGGCTGTGCTGGTGGTACCATGCTGGGAGGTTGAGTCTGGCTGGAGGTCTGGTTCGGGGTTTTGGCTGGAGGCTGTTGGTGTATGGAGGACTGTTTCTCCAGTGGAGGCCTGGAGTTGGGTATGTCAAGCATCGGTGGGGCAGCTGAAGTTGGAGTGGGTGTGAACGGTGGCTCCAAGTCTTCACTGAGGGTCCCGTCCAAATTGTACAGATCTTCATCATCATACATCATCTCCTCATCCTCATAGAGGCCCTCCTCCTCCCCCTCATACAGTCCTCCATCATCACCCTCGTATAGAGCCACGTCCTCTCCTCCATCTTTGCTGTAGCCTCCCTCGTCGCTGTATGTGTGCGTCTCATCGGGATCCCAGTCTGGAGAGCCTTTACTGTAGCTGACGGAGGAGTGGCAGGAATGGTAGGAGTCATTCTCGTCATAAGGGTCTCTTTCTCTGTACTCGCCACCGTAGTCTTCCTCGCTCAGCTGACTGCTGCACCGACTGAGCTCAGCGGATGATGCATAGCTCCCTGTGGGACTGAAAGGATGAAAAACCAAAGTCACGACACATAACTATAATGCCAAAATTGCTAATAGAGCATTGTATATGACCTGCCCTCTTTGTACTCTAATGGACAGCCCCACTAAACACATTTCTTTGCATGTCTTTGGAGCAGCTACGAGCACTGCTGATGACTAATCAATACAAAACAGTGGGAATACAAGAGTATCTGACAAGTGGAGAGAAACAGAGCAGAACAAAAAGTGAGAGGTTTCAAGACAGCTGACAAAGAAAAAGAAACGGTCACAAAAACCAAGCAACAAAACAGGGAAAATGTATTTGTGCTTCTTGACGAATGGGGTTATTAAAAACTGAGCAGAGRTACCGAGAGAAAAAGAGAACAGATGGGTGAGGGTGGCGAGATAGTGAAAACGGGGAGAGAGCGGCAAGCTTGGATATAAATGGAAGGGAGGAAAGGTAGAGAGCGAGGGAGTGTGGCRAGCTAAAAGTGGATGAGATGGAGAGAAGTGGGTGGAGCTGTGAGGAGGTTGCCCTGTCCAATACACTCACACAAGCAGCTAATCTTATGTGCCGTATTGACCATTAGACTGCCAGCTGAATTATTCATAGAGCAAGAGGTGGATGGATGCATATTTTCATTCCCTGACTGAAGGAAATACATCAATAAATGCTGAGAAAAAAATGAACGAGAGTGAAATAACACCAGTCTTTATAAAGCAAAGGAGTTTGGAATATGCACATGGCTAAATTTAATTTAATGTATTCTTTCATCAAATGATTTCTTAATATTACATTTTACATTTACATTTTCAGAAAAAAACAAAAAAGTGGAAATTAAATAAATCTTGTCTTTCATGTAGCTGCTTTGGTTGTAGATTTAGCTGACTCGCTGTCAATAAATCACTGCWTTCAGACCAAAATTATATGGTTATTGATAGTTTTCTTTTCCAGTACTGTACAAAAGAATACATCAATAGTATTTACATAGTGTTGTTGGAGTCAGATTGTGTGTATATTACATTAGTTTTAGTTAAATATATAGAAAACTAACATGTAGTAAGTAAAATGGCCAAATTGATATAAAAATTTACACTAACATTATCCACCATAAATCATTGTCAAGTCCTGATGAAAGAAAGCTCAAGGTAGAAAAAATAAGTGTTTTAAATTTAGCTTCAGAGTATTTGTTTCTAATATTGTTTTGATATGATGTGATTATTATTTTTTTAATAGTCACACTTTGAACCATTTATCAAGAAAAAACAACTATCACATGTCTCAGCTTGAATATAAATGACTGTAATGTGATTTTAACAACTAGTGGGTCCAAAAATAATAATATGAGACMTTTTGACCATGGGGAAAACAGAATGTACATTTTTTAAAGGAGACATATGCTTTTACATTCTTCTTTTTCACATTTAAATCATTCAGTTAGGGGTATATATAAAGTGGAACTGAATTCCTCCTTATTGTAACTCCACTAGCCCCTCTTTCACTCCTTTTCTGAGGTGTGTCTCAGATCAACTCRTTTTGAGGCTGTCTCTTTAAATCCAAACAAGCCGCTTCACACTCCRYCCCCCTCTTCCAGAGCGGCACATTCTAGTTTGATAGAGGGKTTTACGACTATATATCAGCGCACAATTTTTTTTTTTTTTATAAATCAGAAGACTTGTCCTTCCAGCCTTACATGTTGGAGCCAGAGGAGAAAAGACAGTTTTGCATGATATGTTCCCTTTAATAAATGAAACAAAATGTTACTTTTCTTTTAACTTAGATTTCAACTCTTTATGATTTTAGCCCTGTTATGTATTGAATTGTTTTGGATTTGTAGTCTTTTTGCAACTGCTCTGAACATGAAACTTTTTTTTCTCACTTCATTCAAAGTGAACCTGAATCACAATTCTTTGTGTCTTTGTGCAGACACACACCTGACGTTTCTCTGATGGTGGTAGTCCAGGTCTTGGTTGTTACCAGTGCGTGGATACGAGAGGCTTCTGGAGCTGCGGTGCTGTTGGCTGATGGGATACTGGTGGACAGAGGCGTTGGGCTGAGATGTGCTGTAGTAGGGAGGCGGAATGCTGTTACTGGTTTCGCTGCGGTAGTCACTGTCTCTATCATCCACAGCACTATCTGGGTCCTCATCTACACAAAAGAACAAGAAGACATGGCACAGAAAGACAAAACAGGGCTCAGAAAAAAGTTTCAGACTTTATAAAAATAAAAACAAGGTCACAACAGAACAAGCCTACCAGTGCTGTGGTAAWAAGCTTCCTCCCTCTTAGTGTCTTCATTCTGTCTCAACATAAATCTGCTGTGATCACTAAGGAGATGCTTTACTTTTCTCTGGTGTTCATAGATCAACAATTACCATCCCAAAGGGATGTGCTGATAGACTTTAACTGTGTGAAGCAGTCAAAAGCGAAACAAGCTATCTATTAATCATCCATTATAATCCATCATAATCTTTTTCACTCCAAAAACCAACAAACAAACGCAGCTGCTGCTCTGCTTTTGTGCTCGTCTGTCAGATCATGTAAAAAAAAGAAATTAAAGGCATCAAACTTTTCAACRGCATCCATGTCCCTACATGTTTCATTCACTGTCGCTCTTTCTTTCTTTCTTTACGGCACTTCATCAGCACACCATCTATCATTACTCCCACCTCAACATCCTCTTCCGCCCAGAGAACAGAGATGAGACGAATCGCTGCAGATGTGTGGGTGACTCTGACAGGCACTTGCATAACACCATTTGCTAAAAACAACATGACAAAAAGCAACTGGCAGGGAGGATGGAGGATTTTTTTTGCATACTGTACGTATATTTTCTGTAACCCCACATGAAACCCTTTTTTTGTGAATGTATAGTCATTATTTAAAGCTAGAAGCAGGGGGTCATTTGGAATAAAAACCTTGCTGTTTGTTGTTTTATTATTGCTGGAATAATCACAAGTTAAACTTGCTTTAATTTTATTAGAACAGACAGACATACTGTTGAAAAACAGGCAGGATTATCTGATAAATGAAAAAAACTTTTCCCTCTTCTTCAAGTTATGGAAAACGTTGCATTTTGGAGATTATCAGCACCTGATGTTTAACTTTAAAGATGTATAAAAGGTCAAACCTTTTGGATGTATAATTTCTAAATGAGTAGGAAATGCCAAGTTCAATCAAAAGTAGATGTAGTAGAATTTCAATATCTCTCTTAAGCATAATGAAAATCTAATTTTAATCTCAGATTGCAGAGACAGGATGACCAGAGAGTAATGTATTTGTACTTACTTTGTTGGTCTCCCCATAAACTCCAGTTACCTGCAATGAAACAAAAGGGTCTCACTATTGATTACAACTTGCACTGGTGTTCAGTTTCAAACATGCATTCCTGCCCTCAGTACTTCAATATCCCCAGATGGAGCCAATGAATGGAAAGAGAGCAGGGGGGTTGGGTTAAGCTCCACCAGTCTTATTAGCTGCCCCAGACAGTTGTCTTAGCAAGCTCTGCAGACTGGACCATTAGTCGGAACACAGAGGCATCCTGGAGGAGCTCGTCACTGGACATCTAATATTATTGATCCCTTACAGTGCAGTGAATCAAACCTGTTTCCCCTCCAAGGCACAACAACTCGTGTGTTAACGCATAATGCGCAAGTTGARTTAAAGCAATCTAATCGCATCTCAACGCTATTACAGATAATTCCCTATTGTGCTCATTCAGCGACTTGTTACTTACAGCACTGGGTTCCCGGTACACGGAGAGGGCGTTCCTGTTCCTCCTGATATTGGTACTGCACGCCAAGAGAAGCAGAGCAAATGAAAAATGTCATCTGACAAAAGAGGTTTGCTGGTAATTATTGGGAAAAATTGAAACTTTGTGTGATCGTTAACAAAGGAGGTGGAGAAAATGTTTGATTTTATCACATGCAGTGTACACCGTTCCCCAATTAATCAAACGGGCTTGCTGCTAAAATGTCAGAACATGCTGGTATTAAATCAAACAAGATGACAGCTTACATCTTGGTCCCTCATGGCATTGAGCTGCTCCAGTTTTTTGGCCCAGTAGCGTGCCTCGTCCTCGGGGATATCTGAAAACAATCATTCAAGCAAGTTCAGGTGACAAAAACAGTCGAAATGAAACTCTTCCGATTGAAGCTCTTAAAATGATCTGGATCAAAACTGTGTCCTAAATGACAAAAAAAAGTATAGTTAAAAACAATAAGTGTAATTACAGCATGACCCAGATCTGGGCCATTTTTAAACAACATATAAATACAGCTGCAGATAYTTTGGCCTGACCTGAATACAGTGAGATTTAAAACAGGCTATTCACTTACAGCCATAAAGCAAAAGTCTTATAAACAGGTATGAGCCTCTAAATAATGATTCATATTATTAATTACAGAAATATAAAAAAGTGTAAAAAAAAATAACGCTTATCGTGGTGACACTTGTATTCAGCATCACTAACTATATAACCTAAAAGTGGTTCATGGTAATTAATCATATCCAATTTATTTGTGTTCATTTGTCACTGAAAAGATTCTGACAGAATCAGATTCAACTCCTCTTTTGAGTAATGGAGTGATTATTTCCTCACATTCAAGTACACAACAACCCATGAGCAGCTCTTGATTTTACAGGCTGGCGTCTCACCTAGTGGCAGTTCAAAGCGTGTATCAAGCAGCACCAGGTGTAGAGTGGGGTCTTTGGTGCCACAGATCTCGTTATCAGTCATGATGACTTGGGAGTCCACCGTCAGCCACTCCCCTGGACCTTCCTGTGCAGACAAAGAATTTTTATGCAGCTGAAACACAAATACTGGAGGAAACAAGGATTAGTGCTGCTGGTGCAGCAGGTTACCCCCCCCCCCCCCAAAAAAAAAATATGTGTATTACTCAAGTGTTAGAGAAGGTTAAAGGCAAACCTCATTTGACTGTCGGATGCTGCTGAGGGGAATCCAGACAGTGCCAACCATGGTGTCCCAGATCAACCCTTTGTTCCACACTTCTACTGTCAGACCCAGGTCCAGGCGGTTAATTTCACTACRAAGGCAGAAAAAAGGAGAAAATTAWAAAATGATAAAAGACAGGCAGACTTTAAAAAGGACAAACTGATACTTATATTTCATGTATCTATGATCTATAATATTTACACATGGATAAAACATGTCCGTTGATAAAAGCAGATTATAAGTCATTAATTACATAACGTTACATTCTTTTCCCTCCAGCAATACAAGTGTGGAAAGCAACTAAAACCAATTAAGTGTTCTGCTTAAACGATTTTAAAGTACTTCAATTACAGGAAGTAATTACATTTTATGCTATAATACTTTCTGTCCCCGCTCGGCTCCAGAAAATGCCACACTTTCACATTTTCATTTTCATTAACAGCTTTATGTGAAATGAGAATATTTTACATTTATGTTAAACAAGCTTTTACTGTTTAAAATGCATCACACTGCTAAAAACTGAATGGTTTTTGATTTCACAAAAACAAGAGATGTTTGAGATGTTAACAGCTAAGTGTAACTTTCTTTCTCCTCCTGTAACATGAAGTTGCGACTGAGCTGATATCTAACCAAAAATCAAGTATCGGAAAAATATATTAAAAACCAAAATCAAGTTTGTGTGAGAACTTTTTCTTTCTGTTTTTTTTCCCTGTATTCTTATCCAGACAGCTCAAATATACTTGATATCTCTGTAAATAAAGCTGTAAATCCAATTCTTTCTTTAATTAAAGCTGCACCTGCTGTAGAACAACAATAAAAGCAGCTTACACAGTGATGACTCACTTCCTTGCACATTTCGCCGCTAGAGCTGCACTTTCAAATAAATGTGCCTTTTTGTGCAGAACCTATACATGTGAGGTTACAGTTATTGCATTTTTATATTAATTTACTATTAATAATAAAGCAAACAACAAGAGACCCTTCTTAATTCTGAGGTACAGTAAATGCAGCATGATAAGCGAAGGAAGACAGCAGGGTTGGTTTATTCTATTCTGAATTGTGGTTGTGCTTTTTGAAAGCAAGCCTAAGTGTAAATAGCATAAAGCATAAAGGATTTACAAGACAGCGGGACGGAGGAAAGAAAAAAGTGATGAATAAAGAGAGAGAGTAGAGGCACGTGGTGAAAGCAGTGGAGGAGGTGATTGTATTGCAATGCCTGGAGAGAGAATAAAGCAACTTTAATTAAGAAATAGAGGGAGTAGATTTCCCATCTCGATGTAGCTCCTTTTAACATCAGTCCACGTTTGATTGAAGGCACTCGCTGAAGGGGCAGAGTCATTTCACTGCAGTCTGAAAAAGGACATGAGGCGCTTTCTGTAGCCCAAACATTACATAACACAGCTTCACTGATGCAATCCCAGTACAATGCTCAACGCCTTCGAACATCATCCAGATGCAGAGGACTCCGCATTAATCCTGCCTGCTGCATCCCACATGCTAAATGATTCTCACCATTTACCGCCCATATGCTGCTATGCTGTCAACAGCCCTCTGAATCACTCTGCAAGCCAGTTTTTTTGTGGTGTACCATCTTAGCAACTGAGCTAAGATGCCACTGAATAAATCAGAGAAATATCAATTACAAGAATCTATCCTGAAAGGGTCAAATTCTTTTAAATGAACTTCTAGAGGAAAAGGAGGGAAACCGAGGGGTGATGGGGTGTGTTTTAAAAGAGGTGAGGCTGAGGAGATGAAGATCAGGGAGAAGAGGGAGTGACAGAGGAAAGGAAAGAAGGGATAGAAGAAAGCCAAGGCTAAGAATGAGGATGAGAGGGGCAGAATTATCAAGGGACAGTAGATGAAAAAGAGCATAAGAGCTGCTGAAGGCAGAGAGGAAGTGAAACAATGCAGGAGGTGTGTGTGTGTGTGTGGGGGGGGCACATAGGAGAAAAGAGTGAAAAAGTAGGAAGAGAGGGMGGAAAGTCAATACACTAAAAAAAGCATTCAAGTATTAGTGGAAAGAAAAGTTGAAAGTGTGATGGATGAATGGAAGGAGGACGCAGAGGAAGGTGGGAGTTTTGTCAGAAAATACACAAAGACTCACAACATGAAGTCTTGTTCCCAGCAGGGCAAGTTGCCCCTGACAGCGATGGTTGTGCTCTTCACATTTTGCACTTTTAGAGTCACATAAGTGTTGAACTTTTCTGCGACAAAAAAAAAAAAGGAAGAATGAAAAATCTCAGCTGCAGAAATAAAGCAGTGTAAATTCTCTCTAAGATTTATGTGCTGTTAATCTACAAAGAAGTGTCCTTCCTAACACACACAGTGTCCTCACACAGGCTGTTACACCTCCTCTTATCATTTCCAGGTCTTACCTTGGGGTCCATCCAGCTTGGCTTTCTTCACTGTGGGAACACAGAAAGGAACATGGTGACACACGGGAGCGCCATCTGTTTACACACTCTGTTTTTACTTATGAAGAGAGCTAAAGAACAAGGCTGCAAATATATTATTGTATCATAAAAACTAATAAACAGCCAATCACCAAAAAAAAAAACAAAAAAAAAACCCTAAGCAAAGATGCATTACAGCTTCAGGTTAGAAATGTTCTGCCTCATTTGCCTCAATAAGTTTGAACTAAATATGGACATAAAACACAAAAACATTTATATCGAATGCATACGTGTGCACAGAATTATACAAATACTCTGATTTCATTCAGTAAGATTTCCATGACTCTACRTTAACAGAAACCGTACTTGTAGTGAACTTAATTCTTCAGTGTGTAATAAATTTGGGAATGTCTCTTCTCTACGTTGGAGAAATTTTTCAGTGTACTTAAAGTCCTGGCTTCCTCTCTGCAGCGCTATTTTACCAGCTTTGACGTAACTCACACATGCATTTTTAATGCTCATCTTCCCACTACTCCCCCCACCCACCCACACACACACACACACACCTGCGCGTATACTTGATGGGATCCACACACATCACATTGCAGATGTGCACACACTCACACTGGATCACAGACCACAACACCGGGCACAAACGTAACATGTTAAAAACAAGAACACGTCGACCTTCCTCTCAGCTCTTTAAAAACGCGACACGACTTATTTCACAATTTGCTCCGTACGCTTTCCGCATCAAAACTAGTCACCATGGTAACCCCCCCACAAAATTGAAAAGCACAATTGCCCTGAGTCAGCAAGGCTCTCTGGCTCCATTTCTCAAAGCTTTCACTCAGTATCTTTCATACAACAAGCACAAAGTGCAGCTACAGCAGCAGCAGCAGCAGGCACATGCTAATGCAGAGGCTCACTCTGATGTAGAGCACCTGCAGCAAAGATAAATTCACCTGAGCTCTGCTGCCATTCAGCCTCATACGTTCAGGAGCATTAAGCTTGTGTAACTAAAATACATGTACTGTGTCCTGAAACRAAAACTAAAAAAATGAGAGACTTAGAACTCCTTGATGAAATGCATATCGCTCCCTGCCATTCATCCCAGAGTTTTAGTCTAAATCATCTTATGTTGAGTCACTTCCTGGTTTTAAATCTGCTCTTAAAMCACWTTTTTTTTCTCCTTGGTTTTGAACTCAGYTTGAGATCTTTTATTGTTTGGTGTGATTTTTTTTAATGGTTCATTCTTTTTTATTGTTTTTTAATGTTTGCTTTTATGTGTTTTTTATCTGGTGTACAGCACTTTAGCTATTGGTGGTGTTTTTGTAAAGTGCTTTATAAATAAAGTTGAATTATATTTTATTGTGTTGAGAATTGACTTGTGGTCATTTTTGGTCAAACCTGGTAAATAACATTTTGCGCAGTCTCATGCAATGTTACGAGATGTCACTGTGAATAGCTTTTAGCTACTGCATCAAATTTTAGCTCAATATTGGTAAAAATGAACAGAAATAAACATTTTATTTGTTTTCTACTGTGTGCAGCCACTTTACATTGGGTTGGGTTTAAACGTTAATAGTGTTATATTCAGGTTTTTTTCTGTTCAGTGGTTCATGAGATATTTTGCAAAAACGTAGACAAAGTTGACAGCAAATAAAAAGTACATGTTGGGGCTCAGTCCCATCTTAAAGTCTTTGAAAATAAAATGTGCTTTTTAAGGTGAATTGACTCYAAAAGTTAAGTTTCATTCAAATTTACTCAGGTTCATGAAATATTTTGCTGACAGACAGACATGTTCGTACAGAAAAGGCAAAAAAAATGTCTGCCTTTGCCTTTTGTTTGTGGGCAATAACCTATTTTTATGACTCAAGTCAAACTATGTAATTAGCGGTTGTTAGATCTGYTAAGGCAAATCAAAAACAAATCAGAACTTGCTTCCTGCTTTGAGCAGGTGCTGAGACTTCAACAGAGAATTACAACAGCATACGACAAGGATCAATAAAAAAAGAAATTGGTTTTTCAGTGGCAGACCGCTGAAACTTCAAATTAGAGCACAATCATAAATCTGTCTGACAGGATGAGTTATAGTGAGAAATATCACAATTTTAGAAAAGCAAACTTAAAAAGCAACCACTTCCTCCAATTTCAACTACTCAGATCAACCGGCTGAAATACAGGTGAGAAGCCTGGATTCAGAAAAAGAAGTCAAATAAATATACATCTCATTTAACACGGGACGTAACAATAAGTGCATTTGTTTGTTTTGTCTTTTAATTAGATTTTACTGGAACGAATCTGACACACTCGTAAATCTTTCCCAGCAGTTTCATTCAGGAATTACCTCTGACACAGCAGAGTCTGACTTACAGGAACTGAGCTGATTGCCAAGGAAAGAGACTCGACAGGGAATCAGAGAAACCCTTCAGCTTGAACTGTCAGGGAATATTAACTAGGAAGAGTGAGCCGGCTTCAGACGTTTCATGTTCAAATGGTGGGGCGGGGGACTGGATTCAGATGGACTGTGTCCACTTCTGAGGGGGTCACAAAGAGRTCTGCAGTAGTCTGCGTGCTGACGGGGGGGACGTCACAGTTTTTTGTCTTCCTGACCAGATCGAGACAAAAATAACTGGACCTCAAAGTAGTTTTTCTAAGTCATTATGTGTCTAAGAATCTGCTTTGCTGGCACATGCGCCAAAGAAATGCTGCCTGTTCAGGAAGTACTATAGAGGCCAGAAATAGCTCGAGTCAAGGTACGCATGAATGATGTAACGGGAACAGAAAGAGGGCGCTCAGCCAAGTCTAGTAGTCTACAGCACCGGCAGCCACAGCCAGTGTTTGTGAATGAACGACTCTCAGGGTCTTAATGACATCTGGGAGTGACTCACAGCGGGGACAGTCAGTGGGTGGACCTGGCAGGATGGTATAAGCAGAGATGAACAAAAAAAGACTTAAAAATCTTCATATTTTTTTTCCTTTTGCACTAGTTTTGCAATCATGCTAACACAAATGTACACATAGATTGTTTCTGCAAGTTTTGATTAGTCAGAAGGTTGAATAGATCAACAAAAAAAGAAATATAGTAAACATTGTATGCTTTATTCCAACTCAAAAGAAGATTTTTTTTTGTTATATGAATAACAGCTGAATATCAGACCTAAAGGCCAATTAAAAGGCACCATTTCAGGTTGTAGGACGTTTGTGGTGATGCTTTGTCCCGTCTTCTTGCTACGGCAAGGAAGGTCAAACTCATCGACACGGCTGGCAAGTCAAAATGTCTGCCCTAAGAAGGCTTATAGATGAAGAAATGTATGCAAAATCTTTACAACTTGTTTCACAAGTGACAGGAAAGGGCATGACATTCTCGTAGAGCAAATCAATCAAGCAATGCAGAACACCTCCCTCTGACAACTCATCTATAAATCAAGACAATAATTGTAATCAAGAGATGTTTAAAAATCCACAAAGTGAGTAAACTTTATAAGTAAGTCGCTGTTTCTGCACACAATTGTTGCTGATTCAGCTTTCAGAATCCTGAAAAAACATGCTCTGTGAGGGTGGGGGGGTCTCCTTTTCTTTTAGGCGTTTTTCTTGTACTTTTTCATCCTTTTTGACTCGACCCTGCTGCTGCTGGCGTCACTTGTTTCAAACGCAATCCCCAGCAGATGCTTATTCATCCTGTAGCGAGAGGCGACAGTGTCAGCATCAAGTGCTGCTGTCGTGGCGGGAGGAGGAGGTGACGCATGGATTTCTGGAGGGGTGGTGGTG